CAGCAGCACCGCCCTGCTGCAGGCGGGCATCGAGAACCAGGTGACAGCCAGGTGACAGCGTGGCCTTCCGCGGGGGCTGCCGCAGAGGCCGCTCGGCTTCGGCCTGACCCTTGGGCCCTGCAGCTGGGCGAGCTGCCAGGGGACCGGGGGAGAGGGCTTCTGGCTAAACCGCGGGTGATCCCAGCCCCAAGAAACGCCCCTAGGTGACACAGTTGGCGGAGGCGGCTGTCGCACCGGGCGTGCTGTGAGTGAAGAACTGCAGTGGTCATTAAGGGGTTGGCCGGGCTTGCTCTCTGTTGGGCAGTCGGGCAAGCGTGTCACACGCCTCTCCTTCGGAAAGGAGACAAGGGTCGGCCTTGGGTGTCACGGAAGGCATGCCCCAGTAATGGGCTGGCAGAGTGCTGGTCCCACTGTGGGATGGGCACCTGAATCATAGGTGTGCACGTTCGCTGAAGTCTTTAAGGAGAACACGAGCAGCTCCTGCAGGCTGGATTGCAGACCCACTTTTTTTTTCTTGTTTCCAACGTCTGGGGTCCTGTAGTGGTGCTAATTTTCCTCCTCAACGACTTAATCTAGTAACAGAAATACTTTAAGTCTCATATCGTTACCGCTTCTAAGAGGAAACGTGTCTGATAACGTTTGCTTGCTGTAAATTAACAGACAGGTTTGTTGTTTTAGGTTCAGCGAGATCTAAATGTCGCTGTTGCTGAATTTACTGAATTGAAGCAGCAGTTGGAACGAGACACACTGGTTCTGAGTATTCTGAAAAAGCTACAGGAGGTGAGGAGAGGGAGTGGCTTAAAAATCTTTACGCGCCAGTTGTCCTCTCTGCTGCTCGGTCTACGGCATGGTTCTGGGCTTCTCTTTTGAATTTCTGTCTGTGGCTTCCCTGTCTCTGGCAGTGTTGTTCACAAAATTGCAGTCTAGCAGAAGATACACAGTGACGTATGAATCTATTTGATTGTTGCAGTTTGATACAGCTATTAAAGAGTACAATACTGCGTTGCTGGAAAAGAAGTATGTTGCAGCAGCTCAAAAACTGGAAAAGGTAGTAATGACTTCTTCACCGTATGGCAACATTGTTTGTGTGTACTTCAGTAAATTTCACAAGACGCTTTTCATCAGCAGGGGAGCAGTTACCCCATGGTTTGTGTTTGATCTTTACCACCAGGCACGAAGCAGCCTGAAAATGCTGCAGTCCCGCAAGGGCTTTGAGCTGAAGATCCTGAAAGCACTGGGCACAGAGCTCACAGTGCAGACACAGAACATACTGTATCATCTAGGAGACGAATGGCAGAAACTGGCTGTCTGGAAGCTTCCTCCTTCAAAAGGTACTCCCAGTTACGGTTTGTTTCACTATTTCTGCTTCGCTGTTTGAAATGCCGGGTTTGAAGCACCGACAGCATAGGAAATACAGTAATATTGTTGAACTGCGGTTGGTTTAAGGAGCGCTTTCTGCCATTTGCCTAACCTAATGAACAGGGGCGATGAGAGGCAGCGTTCTTTGGCTGTCGCTCCACTCGTGGAGTGTTTAGGTGCCACCACAAGCAATCTGGTGTAGTCAGTAGATTTTAAACAGAGTTTTTGAAGGCTCATCTGCCTCATCTGTGGTATGTCTTAGAAAATGTTGAAGCGGAGATCAGAACAGTTACCAGCCTCTTAGCACTTTTTTAGTCTTGTGAAGTATCAGGAAAGGGATGCTCTCTTGCAAAGCTTCTGCTTTTGAGGAAATCAGCTGGGCCAAAATTTCAGGTTGCTTATTACTGAATACCCGACTTGGCATAGTAGCTGGAAGAGTTTTCCGAGATGTTTGTTCAGCCTGAATGTGTTTCCCCACCAGGCTAGTTTTCACTTCTGCCTTCTCTGATAGGCTTTCAGGTTGCCACCTTTGTTGGGGGCAGCTGATTGCAAGCACTGCTCGAAATGGGAATTCTGGATCATTTTAAGAGACTGGTTTTCATTCTGTTATCCTGCACTGCAACACCAGGAATTCTGTACCCCCTTCTTTTTCTTTAGAAAGCAGCAGCCTGGAGTCAGTGATGCATTCAGAACTGCACTTACGCACAGTGCCGCCGAAAGAAGAGGAGATTGCTGGCCCGCCTGTTGCTTGTGTGCTGCAGGCATTTGCTGTCCTAGGAGAACTGCACACCAAGCTGAAGATTTTTGGTAAGACAGACCGTGGATCCAGATAAACATAGGTCAGACTTATTTGAAGATGGATGTTGAGATCCAGTTCACTTCAGCAGTACGCTGGAAGACTTCTTTTTCTCTTGACTTGTGTTTTCCACTAAGTGGGAGGTGAAGGCTCTGGTTCTTATTGATAGGAAATTACTTTCCCTTTATCCTATTATTTTTCTGGAATTACTTATCCTTTCCTGTCACTTTTCTCTAGTATACTGTTTTGACCTGCGGCTGTGTGGTTTCATGGTCTGACGTGTAAAGAGATCTTCCAGTTACAGCCTCCTCATCTATCGAGAGCAAGTCTGTTGGTTTCGGGCAGCCTCTGGGTTTCAGCATTCTCAGGAAGTATGGCAGATACTAGGACAGGATTTCACACTTCCAGCTGTTGAAGTTGTTTTTCACTTTACATTAAATATGCTGCTCTTTGTTAGGCCTCCATATGTGTTTTACGTGAGTTAAATGGTCTTTAGTGAAAGTAAACCCAGCGTTTTGCCTCGTTAGCTGTTCCCTGATACAGCCAATCAAGAGAGTCTTTCTTCCACTTCATGCAATGCATCTCTACATTGGAAATAGTCACAGTTGGGCCTCACTGGAGCAAACTACCTGCCTTCTGCCATTGGAAAACATCTTTTTTTCATTTCTCAGGCCAGTTGCTGTTGAAATACATCCTCAAGCCGCTGATTTTATACCCGTCTCTTCAGCCATTTGCAGAGGAACAGCCAGATGCGTTGATTCTACGTTTTAAGTCCGAGGAGCCTTACTGGGATCATTCCTCTCCTATGGAGGTTTTTGACAAGATCAAGCTTGTTTTTGAAGTTCTTCACAAATATCTGCTGAGT